GGCGCTGCCAGCAGGGCAGGCTGTCCTGCCAGGCCTGGGGCTGCCAGAGCGGGCTGGAAGGAGGTGTCCTGCCCCGGCTTTGAGAGCTGCAGTGGGGTCCTGCTCTGTGGAGCCGGGGAGCACAGGGGGAAAGCAGCACTGGTGCGTGCTTTGGCTCTCAGCTGCGTCCATTGCTATAACACTACTGGGTGAGCTGCGAGGCTGCTTCAGCTCGGTGGTCACACAAAAGAGGTGCCACCCTGGTCCTCTGCTCTCATAGCAAGGGGCTCTACTGGGGTCCTGACACCTGGGCTAGGCAGGCTGTGAGACCATGGTCCTGAGCTGCTTGCGGTGGAGCCAGGGTAAGGGCTGGCATCTGGAGAGCTGGATGCTGTGTGGCACGTCCCAGCATCTGCCAGCTGGGGAAGAGGAGAGACCCTTGGTGCTGCAGGTGGGAAGGCACTGGGGGATGCTGCCTGGGCCCTTGTGCAGGCACCCCATTCCCCTCCATGGTGGGTGAGACTCTGTCCAGGGTGCCCGAGCCCTGGACAGGGCCGACTGGCGGGCATCTCGCTGGGTGTGGTGATGGAGGCACGGGAAACAAAGGACTGGCTGGGCGGAGAGGGGAGGAAGGAAGCCCTGGTTAGTGGGGCCGGGCGGGAAGCAGGAGGGCTGGCACTGCCACAGCTCCCGGCTGAGCTGGCACCTGCCGAAGGGGTTTCCTGGCGTGCCGGCACAGAGAGGGAAGGGGAGCGCAGTGGTGCTGGCTGGGCTGGGTGCGGCTGCGTGACACAGCCTGCCGCGCTATCCCCTTCCTGGGCAGCCCTCCTCCCGCTCCTGCCTCCAAACCCACGCAGCCACCCCGTGCCTTCCCCAGCCCTCCAGGGCAGCAAGCCGGGGCTTGCAGCATTGTGGCCAGGAGCCGGCCGGTGCCACTTGCCACCCAGGGCACCCTCCCGTGCCAGGCAGGAGGAGCGGGCGCTGGGCGGCACAGGGGCACCGGAGAGGGTACCCATGTCCCACCGTGGACGGCAGTGGGATGCAGGTGGAGCCAGGCCACATCCAGCCTGGGTGTGGGGTTTGGCCTCACGTGGAGGGCCAGTGCTGGCGTGGGGAAGGGGAGCGCGGCTCTGGGGCAAGCCAGGCCCTGTGCGCAGGCAAGGAGGGGCTGGGGCTCGGCGGCAGGGATTTTTCAGCCCTCTGACGGCGCTGGGAATCTGGCTCGCTCCTTTTATGTTCATGTTGAACAGGACTTGAGGAAATACTTGGTCCGGGTCCAAGCGCCTCGAGTTCTTCTGTGCTGGAGGAGCAGGAATGGCTGCAGCCTGCCCACGTCTGTCTGTCTGTCAGTGCCTGGGAGCTGTGTGTGGCGCTCGGGGCCCTGCTTGCCTTTGGCTGTGCATCCCCGGTGGGAGGGGAGGGCAGCCTCTGCTTCCTGGCACAGGGCTGATGTAGAGCCATGCCGTAGAGCCATGCTAGGGGCAAGGCACATCCCCGGCACTGTGATCGGGCAGGGGAATCCATGGTCGTGCTCCTGGCTGCCCCGGCGGGGCGAGGACTGGGGGAGCAGCATGGGTTGGGGTGGGTGTCTCCCTGCCCCGGGGTGAGTCCCGCTCCTCTGCGGGGATGAGGTAACGTCTGCGCCTGCCGGCACCAGGAGGGGAACGGGATGGGAGCGTGGGCAGCTGGGGGGAGTGCCCAGAGGGTGCCTCCCCTGTCCCCCTGCTCATCCCCAGGCAAAGGGCTGGAAGTGCCTGTGGTTCACAGTGAGACGTGGGCTGCCCAACGGGCCCTGACTCACTGTGCTCGCTTCCCGCCCCGGGACTGCGGGGACAGCTCTGAGGGGCGGCTGGGCCTCCTGCCGAGGCTGAGCCAGCGCCGCCTCTGCCGTTTGGCGTCATGGGGACGGGACCCTGAGGTGCTGGCGTGGACCCCAGCTGTGCCAGAGGGCAGGGGCTGGGTAGTACCCTGGGGTAGTGCTGAGCCCTCCACTGCTGCGGAGGGGAAGAGGCTGCTCTGGGCTAATATGCTGGGAAACAGGGGGTGATCTGGGGGTCCCTACCTCCCCCTGGGTCAGGTCTGTATGGTGTCCTGTGCCGGTCTGGGCCTTGCATGAGGGAGCCTGGGCCGCGGCAGACCCCTGCCCTTGTGGGGACAAGGGTATCCCTCTGCTCCTGTGTTGTTGCTCGTCCGGCCTGGCTCTCCCTGACTCCGTCTGTCCTGCAGCTGACGCCGGGCGGGAAGGCGGCCCAGGCTGGCGTAGGAGTGGGCGACTGGGTGCTGTACATCGACGGGGAGAGCACCAGCTCCATGACGCACATCGAGGCCCAGAACAGGATCCGTGCCTGCGGGGACAGGCTCTGCCTCACCCTGAGCAGGTAGGATTCGTGGGTCCTGCAAACCTGGGGTCCTGGTGTGGCCAGAGCAGAGCCAGGGCCCTCTGCCCAGTGCCATCTCCTGGCATCACCATCTCCCGCATCACTGCTCCTTGCTCAGAGCCTGGCAGCCCCTGGCTGGGTCCAAGGGTTCTACTTGGCTGGATGAGGCTTAGCCTGGCTGCTGGCCCTCACCTGCGAGCCACAGGGCAGTGCCAGCCAGCTGTGGCTCCCCTCGGGCGGGTGCTGCATCCCTGGCATACCAGCGTCCTGGCAGTGGCTGGGCCAGTTCTAGCACCTGCCTGGCTATCTCCTCTCTTTGCAGAGCCCAGAACCACCTGGGGAAGCCACAGAAGGTACGTGTTGCTCCTGGCACTGCGGTGGCAGCTCAGCCTCATCTCAGGGGAGGGGAATCTCTGCGCGTAGATGGACAAACGGACTTTGCTCCTGGGGCCCGCAGGCTTCTGGGGGACCAGGGTGTGTTTGGAGGGCTGGAAAACTCCTCGCTGGAGGAGCAGCTCTGACCCCCGGCACCACAGGGGATCGGAGGGAGGGAGCGGGATCTGCCCAGCGGGCACCTGGGCCCGGCTGCCGCCTGTCTGTGGCCCTGCCGGTGCCAGGTGTGGGCAGGGGTGCAGAGGGGCCGACGCAGGGGAGGAGGCCGGGCAACCACAGCACGGCCTCAGGGCCCCATGTTTGCTAGTTCTGGGGAGTGCCCTGGCATGGGGAGGCAGGGCTGGGGCCGGTGACCGGTGGCTCCTGGATGGAAGCTACCTGCATGCGTTCAGCTTCTTGCTGTGGGACGGTTGCGATTGGCGTGTGTGCATGCACCGCCCCGCTGCGGGCAGCAGCAAGCATCCAGGGCACTTACTAATCCTCCAGCGACCCTCAGGCTGGGCTTGTGACCTGCTGTTGCTGGACCAGGTGCCCTGCGGAGAGAGGTGCCAGCCTGGCAGAGCCCAGTATCTGAGGTGCACGTGCTGTCCGGCTTTCCTACCTGGCTGCCTGCTGCGCTGCCTGGCCCAGGGCTGCTCCTTGCATGTTGCTTGATGTGTGAGCCTGTGTCTGTGTGTTTTGTCTCGCTCAGGACTCACTCCCCTGCTCTGAACCCCTGAAATATAACTTCGCTCCCAGCACCGCCCTCAACAAAACAGCTCGGCCCTTCGGGGCTGGCTCGCCTCCGAACCCACGGCCCGGGCTGGTGACGAAACCTGTGACGTATGCGCCCCTGGCGCCCGCCTGCACCCCCCAGCACAATGGGTATGTTGCTGTCTGTCCTGCTCCCTGAGGATCGGGGGGAGCCTGCTGCCCAGCCCTGCTGTGCCTTGCATGCCAGGCACCCATGGGTGGGAGCGGGTGACAGTGCCCGTGCTGGGGTCCCCCGATGGCTGGTGCTGAGGTGGCACAACAGGACTGTCACACGTGGGGACACACAGCCATGCACATGTTGGTCCCTTGCTTGGGGACATGTCAGCCTGTGGGGAGTCCTGCAGGGCACAACACGGCGGTCGTAGCAAGACACTCACCGGCGTCTGCGGTGGCAGGGAAGCGGTGGCTGCGTTGTGGCCCTCAGCCAGCGCCTGCCTGGGGATGTCCTGCCAGTCCCCCAGCTGCCGGGACGGGCTGGGCAAAGTGAAGCCCTCAAGCCCTGTGCAGCGCCGCGCCGTCCTCACCCTGCTCGCAGGGAAGAAGCTCCTGCCTCTGCAGGCTGCCCACCCGGCCGCTGCATGTCTGGCAGCTGCCAGTCCCTGCCCCTCCTGCTGAGAGCTGCTGAAACTGGGCGATGAGAAGGGATGGAGCCCTAGCTGCCCTGGGCACCCAGGCCTGTTTTGGGTGGCTGAGGGAGGCATGGTCTGGTCCGCTGGCATCTGCCCCTGCATCCCAGTGTGCTCCCAGCCCTGGGCAAGCTGGGCATGAGTCTTGGGGGTAGGGGGACTGGTGCAGGCCATAGGTGAGCTCTGGAAACTTCTCAGGTGCTGCGGGTCTAATTTCACCTTCCTTTTTCTTTCTTTTTCTCCTCCCTTTCTCTTTCCTTCTCCCCTACAGGTGCTGAGCCTTGACAAGTCAGTAAGCCTTTTGCCTGCTCTCTATCCTCCCTGCATGCCTCTTCCCTGCTAGTGCCCCGTTCTCCGGGGCAGGGCCAGCCTGGGACAGGCAGCTGCTCTGCCTATGTGGGTGGGTAACTCCTGGCAGCAAGCTGTCCCTAGCCTGAAGGGCGAGCGCTGCCTGTCTACCGGCTGCTGGGGCCATGGAGTGTCCTCCTGCGTGGTCCCCTCCCTCCTCCCTGAGACATGGCTTGGCTGGGCAGGGGCTGCTGGGCTGTGCCGGGCACCCTGCCCAGGGCCAGGCAGGCGGGCGGCACTGCCATGGGCACCGTAGGTGTTCACTGGGCTCTCGTGCAGCTCCCCTGCTGGTGATTTTTTGACCTTGGCTTATTCTTGCCCTGTCCTTTCCCCTCCTGGCCTTGGGGCCAGTCTCAGACTGCCAGGAATGGTGGTCAGTCCTGAGTCAGTCCTTAATGGGCCCTTCCTACGCGGAGGAGGAGTAGGGGGTGTGGGGAGTAAGGCAATGTGCGGCGTCTCAGGTACTGGTGTGCTGCAGTTCTGTGCCGGGGGAGGTGTGGGGCAGCCCCAGGGAGGTGATGCCATGGAGATCTGTCAGATTTGACAGATGATTCTGTCACTCGCAGGCAGCCCCTGCAGCTGCTGGAGCCCCCCAGCACTCCCACGTGCGACCCTGTGAAGTTGCAGCTGATAGAGAATGCTGAGGACTGGCAGCCCCGCACCGGGACCTCCCAGTCCCGCTCCCTCCACAAACTGGCCCCGCCGCCGGGCACCCATGGCACTCAGTACCCGCAGCGCCCGGAGCTGACTGGCTGCCCAGGGGTGCCCAGCTTTGACGGGGCAACTGAAGCCGGATAAAGGCCGTGGTGCATCGTGGCACTGGAGTGTTGGTTTTGACCCCGTGTGGCCCCTCTGGGGTGGCTGAGCCAGTGGGAGCTGCCCGGGGCTGTGCGTGGGCTCGTGGTGGTGCCGCTGGGCTGGGGCCATGCTCTGCCCTGCAGCCGGGCAGGGCTGTGCATTTGGGCAGGAGGGCGGCAGGAGGAGAGGTCGGTTTTCCTGCCTTTCCCTTCCTGCCTGTCCCTGGGCCTCGGTTGCCACAGACTGACTCTGTCTCCTCCTTTCTCTCCTGCTGCGCTCAGTGGAGGATCGTGAGGATGAGCTTGTTAAAAAGCCCAGGTAAGGGGAGCGTGTGCCAGGGCGGCAGCAGGAGCCACGGGGGTGCCCACCCAGGGCTCAGCTCCTGGCTGGTTTGCACTCGCTGTTTGCAGTGACTCTGGGAAGCTCTTTGCCCTGTGGCTGTTTCTTTTCTCCTCTCCTCCTCCTCCGTCCTCACGTTCCCTCTCTGTCTTCTCCCTCTCCCCAAAGCCAAGCTGTTGGCCGAGCCGCAGAGCCCACCCTGTGCTTACCCGGCGATGGGCACTGCCAGCGCTCAGCCACTGCTCTGACCGCCCCCTCGGGAGGGTCCTGCCCGGGCACCCGCCTGCCAGGCAGGCTGTCCCCAAATGGGGTGTCCCCGTGCTGGTTGTGCCAGGCAGGATCACTGGGCACTGCTGGCACGGAGCTGGGGAGGCCGAGCTGCACCGTTGCTTCTTGAGCAAATGGGATCTGGAGGAGGCTGGTGGCACTGGCAACACCTTGCTGGGGGTGTTGGGAGGTGCTGGGCAGCACCTGGACCTGGGGCACGATGTTCCGTGAGCCTGGTGTGGGGCTGCGGGGTAGCCGGACAGAGCTGGGTGAGTGTCCCTGACTTTTCCATGGGGCTGGGAGGTGGCTGGGAGGCTGGTCTGGAGTGAATGATGCTGGCGTCTCTCTGGGGCTGGGGGTGCATACAGGAGGGATGGGCTGAGCCATGGGTCAAATATTGACTGTTGTGCCGCCGTTTTTCTGATGCCACAGGGATGCCCGTGGGTCTGGCTGGGGCACAGGGGAGCAGTGGTGAGTGCCAGGGTCTGGCAAGGGGGTCGGTGTGTGTGAGGGCACCTTTGGGTGCACTGCCCCGTGCCATGGTGCTGGGCAGGGTACGTGCATGATCCCGGCTGAGCGCCTGCCCTCTGTCACTCGCAGGCAGCCCCTGCAGCTGCTGGAGGCCCCCAGCACCCCTGTGTGCGACCCTGGGAAGTTGCGGCTGATAGAGGACGCTGAGGACTGGCAGCCCCGCACCGGGACCTCCCAGTCCCGCTCCTTCCGCAAACTGGCCCGGCTGATGGGCACAGATGGCAGTAAGTTCCCGCAGGGCCCAGAGCTGCCTGGCTGCCCAGGGGTGCCC